AAAAAAAAAAAAAAAGGAAAGAAAAAATAAACATATCACCTGCATAGCAGCTGTTGGTCATACAAAGATAAATCACTCAGTAGTTTGGACTCTCCCAAGAGGGCAAAGAACACACAAGCAGGGAGAATATTCTGGCTTCCTTCTTGAATAGGTTGAGCAAGTTTCTTTGCTTTGTTGAGCTTTCTGTTAATTGGCTTAAGGATGAATGAGATAAATGAATGTGACGTACCTGACAGTGTTAAGTGCAGATTCAGGTCCCATGGGATTGATTGTATTTATTTGGTGAAAGTCCTTTGTAAACCATACTGTAGTTTCTTTTTACCCCTATATGGGATATATGCTTTCTGGGAATAATTTCCCTCCAGTAGGGAGCTATTTTGTAATATATCCCTTTTTCCTTTGTAAGAAATATTACTATCTTGCCATCAAATAGAGTTTGCTTCCTTCATGCTAATTTGAGATTTGGGAGAATTTTCCGATTATCATCCCAAAATAATCTGAAACTGAATCTGCAACCAAATTGAACTGTTCTGATAAAAGGTGAGGGACATGAGCCTGAGGACAGCCTGCAGGTAAGTTTCATCCAGCATCTTGAACTGGCCTTAATCCTGCTGCCCACAAGGGGTCTTAATAGGCTGGTGTAGAGCCATTGCGGATACGTGCTGTGAAATAACCACAAAATACCTATTTCCGTGGAAATGGTAGATTTTGAAAAACATAACACCAACATCAGACTCAGCTCTAAGACCTTAAATGTGGTTCTAGATTGAAACATATTGGAGTTTTCTCGTCTACATTATGATTTTTCTCTCTCTCAGGACCACCACACAGTCTCAAGTATAGTGAAGTCAGGAAAACCTCCCTGGTTCTTCAGTGGAAGCCTCCCATCCATTCTGGACGGACTCCGGTCACTGGTTACTTTGTGGACATGAAGGAGGCCAAAGCCAAAGATGACCAATGGCGTGGACTCAATGAGGCAGCTATTAAAAACAAATACCTGAAGGTAAGAGAACACTCATAGTTTGAGAAACCTTTTTTTAAAAGAAAAAGAAAAGGCTCTTCTAGTGATATTAACTTTAAAGTTAGCAAGGTAAGACAAGACATCTGCTTTGGTCTGTGTCATACATTGGGCTCCTGGTAAGATTCCATTTGGCAGTGGTTGGGGTTTGGAGAAGTTAATGATGCTTAAAACAATTTGGTTATGTTTAACCTGAATCCCTTAGTCTAGCTTTGGAAAACATCCACAAGCTCCCTTCTCTCTCTTCTTTGCCTCCTTGCCTCTACTTACCCACTTCACATATTTGTTACTTACAGTCTTAAGTCGTTTTTACTTACCATCCCCCAAAAGTGACTTTCTCGTTCCTACCTCTTTTTTTGGAGGGTAGTTTTTGATTTGAGGGTGCTATTTTTATAGAGTTCACACCAGTAAGCCTTTAACTGCTGATTCTTTTGAGAGATGCCCTGTCTCATTTCATCTCTACCCTCACACTTGTATTCACGTGAGCTCTCAGAGGCTAGTGGAAATGGACTCACTTAACTCTTGACCTTATTCTCACTCTTATCCATGTCTTTGCCTCCCAGATTCCCCTCAAATATTCTAACTGAACCAGTTCCTAACTCTACCAAAAACTGTTCTGCTAAAACCACTGAATTTCTCATTTGTTCCAAATGGGAATCTCAAAAGAATGTTTTCCCTTATAGTCAGCAGACCCTGAATCTACAGTTGGGCCTCAAAAACTGGGGGGAATATGATTCTAGTTCTTATTATTTAGAATGAAGTGTGGCTTCACCACAGTCATACAGAAAGCTGCACACTGAATGCTGTTGGCAGAATAGGCCACTGCATAGAGGGTGGGCCTTGGAAAGTGTTCAGAGTATAACTAGTCTAAAAGATCTCTCCCATCAACCTAACAGGAAGAGCTAAAGTCCATACCATCTGTCAGCCACTCTCTGGAGTTAAGGCATTTATAGACCCTATAAAAAATGTAAATGTATACTCCTGGAGAAATGACCCTTAAGCCATTACACCCAACATGTCATTAACTCAAGTTAGCATACGCCGATGAGCTCTCTATCCCTTACAAAACCCTGAAGAGATAAGAAAGGTCACATTTCATGGGGACAAAAAAAGGTCAAGGAAGTTCTGGAGCCTAGGATGCTGTTTGATTGTCCAGATGAGTCAGGAGGCCTCCAGATACAAAGAAACCTTGAAAGGTCAGTGTAAAATAAAGGTCAGACACATCCTGGATGGTGATGGTGTTTATGGCCAGGATGATTTCTAAATCCCCCATCTGCACAGCACAGTATCCCACGAGCCTCAGGTTGGACCTGACTGGAGTGAAGCCATACAAGAATGAGAAGCCAAGAGCCCAGAAAAAATGGGCAGGAAAAAAATACAGTTAAAATGCATCAAAGAGTGGTTTTAAAAAAAAGAAGAAAGGCACATTTGAAGGAGAGACACTGAGGTTGCGTGTGCCTCACAAACTGAAGATGAACTTTCTGTAAGGAAATGTTATTAGAATTTAGCTAGTTTTTAAACTGAAAATAGAATTATTAATTTTTCTGATTACAAAACTGACACATGCTCATAATGAAAAATTCAAACAATAAAAGCATAAGGAAGAAAAGTAAAGATGTCCTATAATCCCTATACCCATTTTGATGTAGATTCACTCTTCCAGGTGTTTTATACTTAGAAAAAATTTCAAGCCTGAAATGGAGGAAAAAAAATACATGTTAAAAAGTTTAGACTGAAGCCAGCCAAGTGGCTCAGTTGGTTAAGAGCTCGCTCAAAAGTGCAAGCTCTGAGCAACAGCGGTTCGATGCCTGGCCCGAGCTGAGCAGCCGCTGAGCGGCCAACAGGTGGCAAGATGGCTCAGCTACAAAAAACAAAACAAAACAAAACAAAAAAAACTTAGCTTGGTAAACTTAAATGAGGATGGGAGATATAACTTCACAAATGGGAAAACTAAGCACAAATGCATCCAAAACATAGGTTTCTGCTGGAAGTACCAGCATTCACTTCAGTACCAAGTGTCTAGCGGTCCTCAAAGAGAGTTAAAGATGCATTATTTTCAACCAAAAGGACTTAACCTAATAGAGCACACTGTTTTCCTTTTTGTATTGGTAATTACAGCCCGGTGAGACAAGATGGTAGAAGGAAGTAAATATTGGAAGGGCGGGGAACATGGATGGAGTAGGCAAGGGAATGCAGTTGCTTTGGAAGTAATAGGGAAGGGGAGCGGAATCCAAGAAAAGGAAAATCGATGTGCATAGATTAGGCATCTGCAGTGCTTTAAGGCCTGTGGTCATTGCCCCTGTGGTGATGGAAGAATGGAAGGGTGTTTCTATCACCCCAGTTACTAGACACTTGGATGTGGATTCACTTCCTGTGTCATGATGCAAAAATCTGACTCACAGCCACATATTACCTAAGTGGCAGGTGCAGATGTGGCAAGCACCTGTCAACTGGTCTATTTTTGTCACAACAAGGAAATGTTTCTTTTCCTTTCTGTAAATCCACAGTTGCCTGTCGTTATTACTAAACAGAATTTAAATGCATCAAACTCAATGCGTTTAGCCTGTGCCTTAACTCAATTCATTTACAGATAATCATTTTAAAAATCCATTGGCTCCAGTGAAAGCTATCACTACATAAATGACATTCTATTATCATAAACACAATACATTTAAATAATTAGATTAAAAAACCTAACAATTTAATACATAGCTAATTTAAAAGCATGTTCACAAACACTTCACTTAGTTGAATAAATGTATTCTAGCTTTATTTGATTTAAGACACATTTTGAATATTGATATCCATCACAATATTATGGGAAAAAAATTGTGTAATAAATTCCTCCTTAAAATGCAATGTGTCTTTTAAATGTCACATATTTTTAAAAGTAAAAGATAATTTTTGGTAAAAATTAATGGTTTTTATAATAGTAATGAGATTGTGCCGAACCAAAGAAAGTCACAAAAAATTATGAAGTGGGAGTGTCATATAAAAACATATTATAAATTTTTTACAATGTTTCTACTCTTATAGCTCTAGCTCAGTGGCACACATGTAATAGGTTCTCAGCAAACATCTTGATTATTGAAAATGTGGGGATTTAGAATTTTAATACATTTTGATTATTCACAAATTACTAAAATTCACAATCATGTTAATTGCTTATCTAGCTAGTGAGAAATAGCTATATTAAATATACAGGGTCAATTTTTGTTTACTTTAGTTCTAGTATTTTAGCATGCTTTTAAACAAATGGAAATGTCCATGATCCATGTTTGTAATTCCCTTCTTTTGCCAGGAATTTTATCTGAAATTATTCATGGAATGTCTCGAAAGGATCAGGAAAGAAAAGGCAGCATATATGCTCTTGTGAGCACTTTGTCTTGTGTTTTTTTGACCAAAGAATTAGGTGGCTAACTCCTTTAAAGCACACATATCAGTCTCTTGTTTCTGATGCTGATGGCCATTAAATTTTAAAAAGAGAGAACATCAGAGTTGTAGAGGATTTTAAAAACATCTTGTAACTAACAGGTGGTCTAGAGAGAAAAAAGCTTAAGGTGAAAGCCACATGCTTAGTCTTTGACAGGATCAGGTCTGGAACTCAAGTCCTGTACCCTTTGTGAATATACGAATACAGTTGACCCTTGAACAACATGGTTAGGGCAATGCCCCCTCAATGGCTCAGTCAAAAATCTTTGTGTAACTTTTGACTCCACAAAACTTAACTACTAAAGCCTACTGTTGACCAGAAGCCTTACCAATAACATAAACAGTTGATTAACAGATGTTTATTTTGTATGTTATATGTATTACATGCTATATTTTATGATAAAGCAAGCTAGAGAAAACAAAATGTTATTAAGAAAATCATAAGGAAGAAGCAGGTAGATGCAGTGCTCACCTCCTCCCATGACCACATCAAAATTACAATTAAGCTACAGAACAACCATCACTGAAAATTGGCTGAAGTCTAGCTGAGCAGAAGTTTTACAACTAAGGATATACAGAAGAAACCACGTCAAGACTGGTAAGAGGGGCAGACACTCAGAACAGGCTGGTCCCACACCCACGTGTGGCAGTTAAAAACCAGGAGGGATATCTTGGATGTGGAGGTCCCCCCTGAGGACGCCAGCCTAGGGTTCCAGTACCAGGAAGAGAAGTCCCCATAACTCTGGCTGTGAAAACCAGAGGAGATTGTGGCTGAGTAAGATGAGGGTGGCTGAAATCCCAGGTTTTCCTCTTAAAGAGCCCGCTCACAGACTTACAGCTGACAGCCTCACTTGCTTTGAGCACTAATGCTATGGTAGCAGTTCGAAAGGTGCCAGGGACATATGAATATGCAGAGGAACTGAATTGTCTAGTTTCAGGACAAGGGCTAAAGGGGCAGTGCTGACAGACCCATTGCTCCTTTGTTGAGCCTTCCCTCCTCCCAGTCTGCTCACATTAATGATTCCCTGAGACCCCGCCCCACCCAACTTGGGGAACCACTCAAACCACTTCTAGTGGATTTTCCATAGAAATAACCTGTCTTGGCTTATGCTGCAGACTTTCATAAAATCTCTCAAAGGTTCACAAACCCCAGACAAGTAGCATCTGGCCTTGGCATGCTGTACTTTTTGCTAAGCAGACCCAAGCCTGGCAGTAGTGGCAGCTGGCCTTAATTCACAGCTTAGCCTTTCCCAGGCACCCTCAAGCCCAGCATAAGCACCAACCATCTGTAGATCACTTTGTAGCTTATATCAAGTGACCCTGGGCAGACCACAGGCACTGGCTGACATTGGCCTGCACCAGAGCCCTTCCCAAGAGGCCCCAGAACCAACACACCTGGTGGCTAGCTTCAGACCACACCAGAGCACTAACCAACTGCTTATGCAGACTCAGAAGACACCAGATCCCTGCTAAAGGAAATACTGCTATATAGGGTCAGACCCTGCACAACAGCTCCTCAACTGTAGTCACAGCCAATCAGCCTGTGAGTCAATCTCTCCTATTGATGTGCAAACAGCAACCAAGGCTCAACTATAGCAGGAGGGCACACAAAACCCACACAAGGGGCACCCAGCTCTGGTGACCAGGGAGACTGCGACAATGGGCCCCATAGGTCACCTACTATATAGGGACACTCTACTAAGACAAGGAGACATAGCAGCTCTATCTAATAACACATAGAAACAAAAACAGGGAAGCAGCCAAAATGAGGAGACAAAGAAGCATGTCTCAAATGAAAGAACAGAACAAAACTTCAGAAAAATAACAAAATGAAGACAAGCAATCCACCAGATGCAGAGTTCAAAATACTGGTTATAAGGCTGCTCAACGATCTCAGTGAGAACTCCAAAAAAGGATAAGAACCCTAAAAGTGGAGACAGAAAACATTTAAAAAAAAAACAGAAATGAAGAATACAAGTGAAATAAAGAATACATTAGAGGTAATCAACAGTAGATTAGATGAAGCAGAGGACCAAATCATTGATTTGAAAGATAAGAAAGCAGAAAACACCCAATCAGAACAGCAAAAAGAATTTTTAAAAAATGAAGATAGTTTAAGGACCTCTGGGATAATATGAGGCATACCAACATTCACATCATAGTGGTCAGAAGGGGAAGAGAGAGAACTAGAAATGGAAAACCTATTTGAAAAAAATGACAGAAAACTTTCCTAACCTGGTGAGGGAAATAAACATATAAGCCCAAGGAGCACAGAAAGTCCCAAACAAGATGAACCCAAAGAGGCCCACGCCAAGACACATTATAATTAAAATGCCAAAGGTTAAAGACAAAGAGAGAATCTTAAAAGCAGCAAGAGGAGAGTAGGTAGTTACCCTTTGAGGGAGTTCTTATAAGACTATCAGCTGATTTCTCAAGAGAAACTTTGCAGGCCAGAAGGGATTGGCAGGAAACATTCAAAATGATGAAAAGCAACAACATACAACCAAGATTACGCTACCCAGCTAAGCTATCATTTAGAATTGAAGGACAGATAAGAGCTTCCCAGACATGAAAAAGCTGAAGGAGTTCAGCACCACCAAACCAGTATTACAAGAAACATTAAAGGGACTTTTCCCACCCAAGTACTTAACCAGGCCCGACCCTGCTTAGCCTCTGAGATCAGACGAGATCAGGCATGTTCAGGGTGGTATGGCCATAGACTAAAGGGACTTCTTTAAGAAGAAGAAGAAGGAGGAGGGAGAGGAGGAGGAGAAGGAGGAGAAAAAGATAAAATATATGAACAATAAAATGGCAATAACTACAGATCTATCAATAATTACTGTAAATATAAATAAATTAAATGCTCCAATCAAAAGACATAAGGTGACTGAATGGGTAAGAAAATAAGACCCTTACATATGCTGCCTATAAGAGACTCAATTCAGATAAAAAGACACACAGAGACTGAAAATAAAGGAATGGAAAAAGGTATTTCATGAAAATGGAAACAAGCAAACAAAAAGCTGGAGTAACAATACTTATACCAGACAAAACAAAGGCTGTAACAAGAGAGAAAGAAGCACCCAGCAATTCCACTTCTGGGTATTTATCCGAAAAAAGCCAAAATACTACTTCGAGGGGATGTGTGTATCCATATGTTCACTGCAGCATTATTTAGAATAGCCAATTTATGGAAGCAACCTAAGTGTCCATCAATAGATGAATGGGAAAGAAGTGGTACATATATACAATGGAATATTCCTCAGCCACAAAAAAGAATGAAATCTTGCCATCTGCAACACAATGGACGGACCCTGAGGGCATTATGCTAAGTAAAATAAGTCAAACAGAGAAAGACAAAGGACATATGATCTCACTTATATGTGGAATCTAAAAAACAAAATAAGCGAACAAACAAAACAGAAACAAATTCATAGATACAGAGAACAGTTTGATGGATGCCAGATGGGAAGGGTTTTGGGAGAATGGGTGAAAAAGTGGAAAGGATTAAGAAGTACAAATTAGTAGTTACAAAATAGTCATGGGGATGTAAAGTACAGCATAGGGAATATAGTCAATAATGTGGTAATATAATAACTATGTATGGTGTCAGATGGGTACTAGATTTATCAGGGTGATCACTTCATAAGTTATATAAAAAATGTCTAATCACTATGCTGTATACCTGAAACTAATATAATATAGTATGTCAACTGTAATTGAAAATTAAAAAAAAATTTTTTTAATAAAAAAACAAAATCATAAGGAAGAGAAAATATATTTATAGTACTTATTTTTAAAAATCGGAATATAAGTGGACCCATGCAGTTCAAACCCATGTTGTTCAAGGGTCAAATTTGTTATTACAGAGGAAGAGCACTTTTTTTTAAATGACACAAAGTGACCATTACTTTTATACCTGCTTCTTCCAGGTGCAAGGCCTCAAAGAGGGTGCCAGCTACGTGTTCCGTGTCAGAGCCATAAATCAGGCAGGTGTTGGCAAGCCATCTGACCTTGCTGGGCCTGTTGTGGCAGAAACTCGTCCAGGTGGGCTTTTCCTCTTTCATTAAAATTAATCTCATCTGTGGGCTGGCCCAGTGGCTCAGTTGGTTAAGAGCTCAAGAGTGAGAGCTCTGAGCAAAAGGGTTGCTGGTTAGATTCCCGGCCCGAGCTGAGCTGCCGCTGAACTGCCAACAGGTGGCAGGATGGCTCAGCTTAAAAAAAAAAATTAATCTCATCTATGTAAGATACAAAAGTAATATTCGACCTAACTTTCTGTGCTTTTCCTAGTTTTCAAAATCATCAGTATATGCTATTTGAATAATTGATAAGTATGACCTTAGGCCATGACCATCATTTACTACACCACAGGAGCCTCAGGACAGGGGTGAGCCAGGTTTGAAGTGTTCCAGGATTATTCTGGTTCATACCTAAAAACAGGGAAGTTCTTGATCAAATTATGCATCCTGGACCGACTATTTCAAGTATACATTCCTAGGATGTTATTCCTGTTATACTGTGGCCATAAAGTCCCACCAGAATATTTTCCCAGTCATTGGGAAAGCCAGAACAGCACAATTAGCAAATATGATCCTTAAACAGGTAGGATTTTTAGTTAAGTTAAACCAGGGGTCAGCAAACTTTTTCTGTGAAGGGCCTGGTAGTAAATATGCTTGACTTTATGGTCATATGGCTTCTAGTGCAATATTCAACTCTGTCATGACACAAAAGCCGCCAGAGACAATATATAAACTAATAAGCATAGCTATGTTCCAATAAACTTTCCTCTACACATTATATACATCATATAATGTATTATATACATTATGAAATTTGAATTTTGAATAATTTCACATGTACTGAAATATTAATCTTCTTTTGATTTTTTTCAACTGTTTAAAAATTTGAAAACTGTTCTTAGCTTGCAGGCCATACAAACAGAGGCAATAGGCCAGATTTAGCCTGCAGACCATAGTTTGCTGACCTGTGTTAAACTAACAGCAGTCCTAACAAAATGATCTCTATAGGTGACACAGCCCTCACTTCCCAGTTTCAAGAGATGTCATAACTGGACTAGGAGAGACAATCTTTCCCTTTATTATGGGAACAAAGTTTACAGTGTTCACTGTGCAAATAGGTTCAGATTATTATATAATAATAATTTATTTTGTCATTTAACCTCTATCACTTTTTAAGGTTATATATTTCAGTTTATTAGAGTTGCATAAAAGAAAGCACTGGAAATGAGAGAGGATAAAAACATATTAACCAGTTATTTTAAGTTTATAGTCATTGTAGTCCAAGCACTTTTACTTTAATCCATCCCTATTTTCAGACTGAAATAAATCGACAATACATAATGTGATATTTATTTTTATGATGAAAAAAGAAATATAAACAATCAAGGCCAGCTGAGTGGCTCAGTCGGTTAAGAGCTTGTTCAAGAGCGCAAGTTCTGAGCAACAGGGTCGCTGGTTTTATTCAAAGCCCGAGCTGAGCTGCCGCTGAGCTGCCTACAAGTGGCAGGATGCCTCAGCTAAAAAAAAAAAAAAAAGTGTTTAAAAAAATATATATACATATATAAACAATGAAAACTCTGCTCTCACTTAATGTTATGTGGAAAATACATCAATGTACCCTCTGAGGAAATATTTCTCCCTTTCATCCTATTACTTCATAACCTACTTTCAACTATTCTTATAACTACCCCCTAGAGCTGGGTGGGACAGAAGTGACCTTCTTATACCAAAGTGTGGTGGGTGTGTCTGGACAGAGTGCCACACCTCACAAAAGTTCCCTTTGTAAAATTTTATGAGAAAACAGGAAAATGCTGGAAACATATATGCCTGGTGAAAGATAACACACGAACACACCAGCACACATGTTCCTGTAGAAATCAGACCGTTCATGTGCCAACTGTAAGGAAATATAAGGTGCCAAATGGACATGCAAAAGGGCCCAACAGCAAAGTCCACCCTTGTAAGAACAACATTTAAATTACTATAAAAGTAAACTCTTAATCTAGTCATGGGTACGTTAAAAGCACACTTTAAGTAGTGGATCCAAATCTAATTGACTGAAGAAAGCTTAAATTGATGTATTGTTTTCTCACCCATAGCCGCAGAATGGCAGGTAGCCAGGCATGACATTAACAAAGCCATCACTATGGACATTTTATCGCCAAAAAAGAATCTGCTGGTGAGCTCCTGGGCAAGAGTTTTGTTTCATTGATTTGGAATAAGGCACCAAAAGTCATTTTTTATGCCAATTCCACTTCCAAAATATAACTACAAACAATAGCTGCAGACATTGATATACAAAACAGCACTAGATTAACCCACTCAGGAACCACTGACTCATGGCCTAGGAAAGAACCCTGGGGTACACAAAGTCAGAATGCTTTGCCATGAAGGGGCACCAAAACTTAGGAGACCCTTGGACTTATTTCATATGCAGTAGGCACATTCATTCTCACAACATGTTTCTTGAGCACCTACTACATGCCAGATGCTGTGTGAGCACCAGGAGTAGGGTAATGTGACATTTATCATTACATACTGGGCTTATGATCTAGTGGAAAAGCCAGAGTTTACAACATGGTGTAATGAGAGCTGGCTAGATGTTCATAAAATATTTCCCATAACTGAATAGGCTATAGACCAGGTATTAAGGTTTTATAAGTCCCTTTAAAAATTTATATGTAGCCTAAGGTTGTTTGTATTTATTAATGTTTTAAATACTCATATATTACTTTTACTAGGATATTTCTTTTTTTTTTTAAGATTTTATTGGGGAATTGGGAAAGGGAACCAGCCAAATTGTTATTCTTCAATCTTTGTTGTAGAGGGCGCCAGTCGCCATCTGGCTTCCTGTCGGCGGCTCATGGCCTCTAAGCTCAAGTTGCTGTGTTCAGTCTTAGTTGTGGGTGGGCATAGCCACCATCCCATGCGGGAGTTGAACCCGGCAGCCTTGTTGTTAGGAGCACACGCTCTATCCACTGAGCCATCCAGGTGGCACCTCAGCTCAAGGTGCCGAGTTCAGTCTCAGTTGCGGGTGGGCATAGCCCACCATCGAACAGGCAATCTTGTTGTTATACCAGCTGAGCCATCCTGTCACCTGTTGGCAGCTCAGTGACAGCTCAGCTCAGGCGCAGCATCACTGGCCCATGTGGGAATTGAACTGGCGGCCCTGTTGCTCAGAGCCCGCGCTCTTAAGCCAACTCTTAACCAACTGAGCCACTCGGCTGGCCCCATAGGGTATTTCTTTTATGTTAGAATAGATGGGGTGAGGGTTAGGGGTTGTTATCAATTTTAAAATTTGGGATGTGAAATTTGGATTGCTGTTTCAGAAAAACGACTCCATTTGGACTGCATTATTAAAATTTTAGATAGAAAATAAAGTTTACCATGTAACAGCAAACCTCAAATACATCTAACAAGATACCTCAAGTGTAATCTGAATTCCAGTTCAAAGTTAACCTAATCCACCAGGGTTGGTAGGATCACTGGTCTCCCTTTGATGTCAACAAATATGCCAGCAGATGTAGCTCAGCCACTGCCATGAAGTCTAACTGTATTGGTAATGAGGATCCAGAAAATGGACTAAGTGTGTTATGCTTTACCAAGAAATCTATTCGCTAAAAAAGACTATAAGAAGAATAAGCTGAAAACTATGTAGTGTAGATTTGTTGGTATATTCTATTCTTGATATTCGATATTTATCAAACAGTATCTGTGTTGATTGCATCAGGCCTGGAGTGTAGTTGGAGGCAAGGTAAGCCAGATCAGGTGGAAGACAAGAGACACCTGCCAAGGTGTGGCCGGCGATCAGGAGGGCAACAAATAACTGGCAGTACAGGCTGCAGGTATTCTTATCAGAGAAACAGCAGTAGGCAGGAGACTTTGGGTGATGGGCAGAACCCAGACACAAGGCAGAGTCCCAAGCCAGAGCTAGGTTACTGGAAGTTAGGACGTGGTCACTAGGAGCAAGGCCATTTAGAAGACCCCAGCACCAGAAGAGATAATGAGCTGGGATTGAGGTGACAACTGACTAACCAATCTGTTTCTAAACACCAGTTGGTCATAGAACCTGGTAGGGTCAAGAATGTAAAAGTGTGCTCAGTGGCCTAGTGGTGGAGTCTTGAAGGATTCTGAAGCAGAAAGCTAGGCTGACTGTTAAAGAATAGCTCAAGTGATTTAGACAAGTGTGCTTGTATTTGCTTACTAACTGATCTCTTTCACCCATTAGAACAGTACTTCTAAGCCTTGGCTGTACATTAGAATCATGCCAAGAACCTTCTGAAAATAGTGACTACTTTCCAGAATCCATTCCAGGCCAATTAATTCAGAATCTCTAGGACTGATCCTGGGTATGGGTTCGTTTTTGTTTGTTTAGCTCCTTGGGCAATCTAGTGTGAAACCAGGCTTTTGAACTGCAGTAGACTGTGGGCTCCTTCAAAACAGGACGTGTGCTTTCTCTTTCTGTATGCCGAGAGCCTAGTACCTGGGTTATAGTAGTCATTTATTAAATGGAAAAAACTAATGAATGACTACCATAATTGGGCCAGTGAGTGTGACTCTGTTTTGCAGCCATAGCATGCACACATAACCTTAAATATCTCGTAATGAACGCCCTGGTTATGAAGGGCAAGCTGGGAGGGAAGTGTCAATGCAGGCTACAATGAGGACAACAAAAGTAGTGGTCACCCAGCGGTCCTCACCTAAAACCTAGTGGAGCTCCGTATTACTTGTGGTTGATTATATTACTTTACTTCTCTCTGCTTCTATTCTGTGTCACTCCATTTTTTTAAACATCACACATGCACATATGCATTCATGCACCATGGAGAAGGACAAATAATCAAAGCTTGTACTGCTGATCCATTAATGCTGATGTAGAAAACTAAATTATGTGAGAAAGGATTTTCATATCATATTATGAAATGTACGGGAAGATGAGCAGTTTACTGTGATCTTTTAGCTTTTACATTTTATCTTTTTTTTAAATCTTTTTTTGGAGGGGAGAGGAAAGTGAGATGGAATTAATTTCCAACTAGTTTATTTTAACCCTGGGCCATACCTTACCCATTCACATACTGGAGGTAGAGGCAAGCCTTCAGGGACCATTAAAATGCCATTCTATACAATATCTCGCTGTGTCCATATTAAGGATTTGTTTAGGATTGAGGCAGCTAGCTAACTAGAGACAACTCTTCTTAAATTCTTTTCAGACCAAAATAATCTCTTGCATTTTCTGTAGCCAAATCTCCTGTACTCTTAGCTGAATTCTTTGTGTTCTTGAACAGATTCAAAGTTTTTTGGGGGAAAATCTAAGTCCTAACAAATTTTTTACTTTTCCATCTCAGCCACAAGGAAAAGAGGAATGATCTTTCAGCCAAATGAAAATATTCATAAAATAACAAGTGCAACTTTTTGAAAAATGAAATCTAATTAAATACTTATCTTAATAAGTATTTGATTTTTAAAACTGAAGTGTCGAATATAGTTTTAATTCTTTTTTTCACTTTATTTAAGTAAATCAACCAATAGCACTCATCAAAGCCACAATTATATGTGCATAAATTGAAGAAATGTTCATGCCTTTTTTCTTATCCACTACTGATATTGTCTACAGTGTGCCGATTATACATGATTAATCAAGAAAAGCTTCACAGATGCAGAAAAGTCTCTTAGATACTAGCTGACATTACATCTAATTCCTACTTATTTTGCCCTCCAGGCAGTTACTTAATTTCAAATTACAAATTTTAATCTAAGGCTTTTTAAAAACTACATGTTCTTTTCTAAAAGTGTAAATTATTACATTTCTTAAATTAGAGCCTAGCTGTAAGGTAATGATGTAAGATTCATAAGTTAAGGTGGAAACACATGCATATATTGCCTGGGACTTAAAAATTACATCTTTTGTTTCACTTTGAATTTTCACAAAAGAGCTCCAAGTACTTTACAAAAATTAATTTTCCAGAATAATTCAGTGAGACAGTTCTATATTCTTTCAGTAATTGAAACAATGGAGACAGCAACTAAGCAGGGCTTTCCTGTTCTCCAGGTTGCATGGGTTTGAGTCCAAAGTTGGCCATTTAGAAACCTACACAAATTACTGTGTTAAATACCCAGTTGTTCCATTTACCTAAAAATGTACTGCGAAAGCATTGATACTTTAAAATTTCATTTTAAGACTCTGATGAAAATTCTTATAAAGTAGATTATACACTTCAGTACATACTTTTCAACCTTCTTAGGTGCAGTGTACTAACATTATTTATCTTTTTCAGTTTGACTCAGAGCCATAAATGTCAACCTTACTTATTGTACAGTGTTATAATATGGTGATGTCTCATGGGGTGAGGAGCCATTTGTCCCTCTACAAACTAATGCTTTGGGGCTTGCTTTTTAGTTTTCTGCCTCCTCTCCTGCAGTCATTTTTCTTGTTCTCTGTGTGGCTGCTTAGGGAAGTAGCTTCTTACTTCCCTCTCTTTTTTGGGTTTAATTTACTGAGAGAAAACAACCAACTAGTCTTGTTAGAATCATGTCAAGCTAAGTATAGATAGATCCCAAGAGTTCTATGGAATTCTCCAGTGAGTGTCACCGCTCATTGTTTGGGCACTTGTATTCTTTTGATGTTCCTCTGAGTGAAGTTCTGCAATTTTTCCCCTGACAAGTTTTATTGGATAGTAGGCCAGGATGCTGGCTTCCTACGATACAGTCTAGAGAGAAAGCCTTCAATCCTTTGGTCAGTATCTATTGGAAATTTTTTTGTGCTTTTTAAAAAATAAAGCTGTGCCTTTTTGAGATGAAATATAATATATTTTTCCTAATATATGAAAGCAAATCAAGTTTAAACTGGTAATTCAGTGCATGTCAATTTGAGAAGAGCATTTTACCTTTCAAACTGGATTTTGGTGTAGATGTAAACATTTTACATGCTGCATAAATTCTCTTTGAATTGCAATGTTAGATGCGGGTGCAATTTATTGTAACTCTCAAAAATAAAAGAACTCAACACATTAATGGAATTGTTTTGTTTTAAAATCTAAATGACAATCTTCTTGAAACTCCTGAATCTCTTGAAATTCATTTCTATTAAAATTCCATAGGGCCAGCCAAGTGGCTCAGTTGGTTAAGAGCTCACTCAAGAGCTTGAGCTCTGAGCAACAGCGGTTTGAGTCCAGCCCAAGCTGAGCAGCCGCTGAGCTGCCAACAGGTAGCAGGATGGCTCAGCTTAAAAAAAAAATTAATCTCATCTATGTAAGATACAAAAGTAATATTCGACCTAACTTTCTGTGCTTTTCCTAGTTTTCANAGCTCTGAGCAACAGCGGTTTGAGTCCAGCCCAAGCTGAGCAGCCGCTGAGCTGCCAACAGGTAGCAGGATGGCTCAGCTAAAAAAAAAAAAAAATTCCATAAAATTTAATAACAGTCATTTCTAGGTTGCTGTTGTTCTAAACTAGAGAAGCATCTTTAGATTGATTTGTGGTTGTCTGATTCATGTATTTCTCCATTCTTAAATAATTTACAAAATCTAAACATGTGAATGTAGGCAATTCTTATCGCCTCTACTTTCTCCCCTTCAATTTCCTTTTGGTTTCTTTATCTCTTATCTATCTTTTGTTGATGACCAGTTGGATATGGGTGTGTGTTCTTGAAGCAAGTCATGAATTAGGTCCTGATAAGGACCATTCAACTTTTCTTTTCCCCCCTGATTTATGATCAACCAACTCCCATAACTGAGCCATCAGTCACGTCAACCAATTTTTATTCTACCCTGGCCAAACAATACTTTCCATGATATTGGCTCTACCTAAGAAACATAGCATATTTATTTAATTCCATGTTGCAGTATAAAAGTTGAATTCTAGCACAGATTGTCAGTCACAGTGAGCAGTTGGGCTTTTCCTTTACACAAGCTCCAGGCCCTGCTTTAAGGCTAACGTAAAGGATCCTGAGGTAAGGCATTCTTACCTGGTCGATTTTACCAGAATATATCAGTGTCTCTTTTGTTTTCTTCTAGGAACCAAAGAGGTTGTTGTAAGTGTGGATGATGATGGAGTCATTTCCTTGAACTTTGAATGTGATCAGATGACACCAAATTCTGAGTTCATCTGGTCCAAAAATTATGTATCTACTGAGGACTCTCCACGTTTGGAAATTGAAAGCAAGGGCAACAAGTACGAATTGTTTCAATCATAACCCTGGGTTTCCTTGTCATGATAGAAGGATGAAGTAAGCTCTTAGATTTCCATTTGAAATAGTTGGTTTATACCAGTATAAACCTTAAAAAAAATAACAATCCTTCTGAAGTACTTTTTACATTACTCCATTTAAAGTGCTATCTCACTCATGATGTTAGAAGAGCTTTGATTGATGTAAAAGCAAGCTTAAAAAATGAGTCTCATTATTGTACAAGATTTTGAAATCTTAAAGTAATGATGACGATGCTTATGGGGAGGGACCAAGGAAGAACTTGCTACTTGCTGATTCGAGATATGGTAAATTAAATGAGTTAGGTATAATCTGTTCTGGTTTTTTTTTTCACCACCACTTATTAGTGACACAGTAATGCACTGGAAGGAACTCTAGGAAGCACAGGATAGATGATTTTTTAGTCCCAGCTCTACCAGGAGCTGGCTGTGTGGCCTGGGGCAGTTTTTAACTTCCATGGACCTCGGATTTCTTTTTCTGTAGAATGGAAAATAATGAAGGGGCTTAATTTTATAATCTATTAATTGTAGCCTCAAGATTCTGAGTTTTCTTTTTACTTTGCCTTACTTATCAATCTTTATATCTTTATAGTACCAACCACATTGGATTGTATTTGGTAAAGCAAAATATTCCTATTATTTCTATTATAAAGAAGCTCAATATATAGCAAGAATAAAAGAAAGAAATAGTAGTTTTGTTAGAGAATGGTAAGGAAATACTGAGTATAATCAAAATACATCTTGCTGTCTCTATGCTGTAAAACATAAATAAGTCAAAGAAAAAACAAACTATACATTTTTCTTCCAGTTTGTGCATTTGACTAACAGTTAAATGTTTGGCTGATCTAAGACACAAACAAACAATATAACTCACCAAAATTAGAAATCCCAGTGAACCAGACCATTGGCCAGTTCATTTATTCATTCCACAGATATTTATTAAGCACATATAATATACCAGAGAAGGCACTGGATCCTGCAGGACACAACAGTAAACAAAACAGATCTTGCCCTAAAGGCACATGGTGCCTTATTATATAGATAATGAAATAGGCAGTTCCAAAGCAGTGTGATAACCTTAAAAAAGGGAAGTGCAGGAATGATCTAAGGGAGGCCCTGGAGTTACCAGCAGCAGCTCCTGCCCTGTGGGGAAAAAACTTCAGGATCCCCAGCAAGGTTGATCAGCTAAAAACGTCTTTATGTGAGATATGTATTGACATGCACCATAGCTTGGGGATGGGAGACTTATACCAGCTCCCCACTTCCATCATCATCACACCCTAGGAGGAGGTCAGGAACAGAAACAGCAAGAATGAGTAGGCTTTAGGTCAGCAAGAGAAGTAGGAACAAGCGCTCCAAATGAAAGGAGTAGCATGTCAAATGCCCAGGGACAATGCAGGACAAAGGTCCATAGACCCCACACAGTCTCATTTCTCATATAACTCTTCTGTCCTGAAGGACAAAAATGACCTTCAAAGACCTAGGGATGGAAGACTTGGGCATTTACTCCTGCGATGTAACGGACACTGATGGAATAGCATCAAGCTACTTCATAGATGAGGAAGGTAAGTTTGAAATCGATTAATTCACAAGTCTAATGCTGTTTTGATTTCTCAATGATTCTCTAGGATCAAGTGACTTTTGTTTTAGTAATTTAAGGTTTACTTGTTCTCTTTTTCTCCCTACAGAGTTGAAACGTTTACTTGTTCTCAGCCAAGAACACAAGTTCCCAAGTAAGTGCTCACAATACTTTCACAGAGTTTGGCAATCCTACTGGTTGGAGACTTCTGGAATAGGGCAGATGACAACTCTGACAGAATTAAGAAAAGAGGCTCTTGAGAATATATAATGGAGCATACATTGGGAGCTACAGATGCACTTTCTAGAAGGGCTGCTTTTATCTTTGCCATTGTTCTCAAGAGATACAAAGAATACTAACATAGGAACTATATTTCATGCTTTGTTTCATAGAGAAATGGCAGGCTACATAGCTGAAATAGCTGAGTAATTAAGTTCTTCACTTTTTGCCTACATATTTTAGAATCTGTACATATACATACGTATATATATATGTATATACATTTTGTACATATACATATACATCTTCTGGATACATTAATTCCCATGTCTTTTAGGCAAACTAATCACTTCCTAAGCAATTTAATGTTAGCATTTAATAAAAGAATCATACCTCTAAATAAAGACATTATCATTTTAAACTCCTGGAAAATAAAGTAAAGATGCCTTGGTCAGAAAAAGAATTTCTCTGAACTATCTACAAACCCTTCAATAAAGCACTTTCCACATAAATGATTAAATTTCACAGTTGACACCTAGAAGAAGAGCAAGAAGTCTGAAATGACACTCGGAAAGTTCCACTGGCCTGATAAGCCCTCTTGCCATGAGTACCTATTGGCCAAAGTAGTGGATTATTCAGAAAGTTATACCCTAGAGTCTGAGAAAACAAATAGAAAGTGATAGCATATAATTATTCTTTTAAATTAGGAATGTTTTTTCACTCACTCATCCCTAAGATATAATTCCTTCATTTACACAGAAGTTTCAGGAATCCAGGAAACTATACCCTGGCCCCAGACTATAGGCAAAACTTTGTATATTTGTAGATGTGCATTTTTTTCTAGGGAGAGGGTCTATAGCTTTCCCGAAATTCTTTTCTCAGTATAGGCTGTGATTTAAAAACAAACACTGTCCTAGAACCAATTGCCTGACCTCTCTTCCATTCCCAAGGAATGCTTGTTTGATCATGAAACTGTTGATGACTATTGGCCTCGAATGTAATGTTCTCAAAACCAACTTTGTTCAGCAAAGCAGAACGGGGGATGACTATGGGTGTGCACGTAGGATGCAGAATTTCTGAATTCTAGGGGACAACTATTTCTCATTTCTATGCTTATTCACCATAAAACTGGCAATGTAATACCATGAATGGTGTCTTAACAGTTGTATATACATTTCAATTGTATGGAAGGTAGGGGTTTGGCCTGGACTCTCTTTGCTCTGTACTTTGGAACCACTCACTCTGTGAACCTGGGCAGACCATTTCAATTTCCCTGTGTCTCAGTTTTTTTCCTAGAAATGGCTGTTGCAATAGTTTATAGCACCTACCATATAGAGATGCTATGAGAGATAATCAATATGGTGTAGGTTGATCCTTGAACTCTTCAAAAATATATATATAATAGTTAATTGAAACAGAGCAGTGATCATAGAAGAGCTTGCAGAAGAGCTGTCTCGAAACCTCCTAGGATATTCTCCCTTCATGTTCCCAGGGCTGTGAAGTAAGACATGGAAGAGAGGGTCACTGTGTTGAACACAGCCAGAGCCCCAATAGACAGGCAGACCCCATTAATATTCCCACTGTCTCTTTTACACACATTGGTAGAAATGGAGAGAAACATCATCCACCAATCTAGTTAGTCAGACAATAAACATTAACAAAGTGTCAAGGCAATGGCTAATCCAAATCACACTTACATTTAGCTTAAAGAATGGAGGTGAGAGAAAATGGAGTGTTACTGTTAAACTGGAGGTGCCCCAGGCTCCCTGAAGTTCAGCAATCATATGGACTCAGAGATAGTGATTGCCTGATGTCACTGTTATTTACACTGAGATATTTTATTTTGAAGAAGCAGAAGCACTCTAATTATTGGTTCTGGGAGAGAGGGTAGCAGCACACTCAGGCACACTGTTTTGTTAAAGACCTGGTTATGGCATTTGGGTAGGTCCAGAGGGAGAACCCGAGAATGTGTTAAAAACTCTGACATGCAAGTATCAAATCTAACCTAAGGGAGTTTGCATTAGCCCATCAAAGCAGCATTTGAAATAGTACAGCTCCAGCACTTTTCTTCTCCCCACCACTATTAGATTAGTCACTACATGAATATTTTCAGAGATCTGATAATAGGGTCAAAGCATTATGTTTAATTTCTCAATTTATGCCTACTTCCTCTTAATAAATGTTGATACATGAGTAATTTTCTAAGGATTTTGTAAGGTTTTAAATGGTCTCAGTTTTTATAGAATGTAATACGGAGTATGGTGTTCCTTTACCACTTGGCACAGTACATTCGCCTGTTTTAAGCTGTTTTCAAAAATGTTTTGAAAACCACTAAACATATGCCTTAAACCTACAAATAACAGATATTTTACTAGAGCAAATGAACTGCCTGTGAAAAGAGCCTAAGGAAATTTAGGGCTGAGAAGAAGAAAAAAATTAAATATATAAAGCTAAAAATAGAAACCTAATCTGTCTTGCCAGTATTGATAGTAAATTGCAGTGTAGAGAAGTAACTTATTTGAATATATTTATATTCTCTCAAGATCAAGGTCTCTTAGAGGAGATGGTATGAGGTATACTTTGGTATTGTCAACATCCTGTATAATATCTCTTCATTATTAGACATTGGTTATTATCCCACTTGTGTGTGTGTGTGTGTGTGTGTATATATATATATATATATATATATATATATATATATATACTCTTTGTGTGCAGATACACACAAGCATACATACATAAATTATATATATTTGGTATGTCCTCTTAGGTGTAAATATATTATATTTTACAATTGGTAGTTTTAGGGTGTTGCTGAAGCAACTGAAGGAGGAAAGAGGTACCAAAATATTAATAGCCAAATTTATAGTTATCACATGCCAGGCTATTTATAAGGTATTTAAATGAGATGTATCATTTAAACTCCACAATGACCTTAAAAATGTTGGTACTATGGTGATTTAGTTGTAGAGATGAAGAACATGAAGCCCAGAGAGGTTAAGTAACTAGGCCAGGTGTACACAGCTGGGGTTACATACCTGGGGTTAAGTCCAGGTAGGCTGACACTAACCGGGACATGGGCTGTTTCTGTGTGTGCACCTGCTGTTTGCCACCACGCCCTCTGTGGTGGTTCCTGGTGCCAGTGTTCTCCAGATGATGTTCCTATTACTCAGAGAGGACAGTGAACATTGAGGGAGCTGGAAGCTTCTGGGAGGATGTGCCCCTCCTCCTCCAGCACCATTCTGGGCCTGTTAGGTAATTGCATCACTCAGATATTAGATTCCCCAGAATGAGGTCTCCAGACCTTTCTAGGAGAGATGCTATTTTCCACTCCCCTCAAGCCTTACTTGTAGCAAGCAGGAGTATCCTGTGGAGAAAAAGCTTAACCTGTACCCTCACCACCCTGGTTTCTGTCCATGAGCTGTTTTACTTAGATATGCTCATACTGGAAAACCACTGGTGTCCTTCAGAGTGCACAACCGTGACTACGAGGAACACAAAATAGCAAGAATAACCCTGGTCTCAGCTCTGCCACCCATATAGGTTACTAACCTTTCTTGGAGCTCAATTTTGTCATCCATAAAATTAGGAGGGGAAGAGAAATAACCCTTCTTGAGCACGGGTCATTATTTAGTGTCTTAGTGTATTCTGGTACTACATTCACTCCTGCTGGTGACTTTGTGAGGCAGGTAATATCTATGTTAGCAGGTGAGGAGCACGTTTCAGGAGGAAATTATTGTCCAAGAGCATGGTGTGACATTAGAGCCCATCTTCTGTCTACCATGTGACACTGCTCAGTAGCTCTGCATTGGAATGACTCTATAACTGATTTTTACAGTGAATGTGGACTAGTGCAAATGAATAGCACACCTTAAAACTTGAAAAGAGTAGTTTTAGGATAAATACAAAGGACAATTAGTGTACATTTGGTACAAATTTGGGAGGCTTATAATTAAAAGTATAGCATATGCTAAAATTTTGAGATAGGTTTCAGAACCATTTAGAGAAAGCAAAGAGTAAAGAAGGACTAGTAAACTTTGAGAAACAACAATGTTTTTCCACAGTATACTCCAGAGCCACCTTTGATACAGGACCATTGTTGGAGAAGCCTTTGTGGACAACATTTACAGCCGAAAGAAATTTAGGGGTAGGGGTGGGTAGAAGAAATTTAGAAAATAGTTTTCAGAGATGTCAAATTTCAACTTAAATGGCTTAAGTGATACAGATGTAAATCAGGGATATCATATAGTTCCTTCACTTTCTTTGAGAGGCAAGTCATGCTATATTTTAATATAGCTTCTTGATAGTGGCTCACTTATTTGCCTCTGAAAAATTTTGCTTGGTCTAAGAACTTAAATGAACTGGCATACCATTGGGATGGATTGGGTTTCAATGACAAGCTAGTTCATCTTGTATATATATAGTCAAAAATAATTATTTTTCAAAATTCATTTTTAAAAACCTCTAAAGTGAGTTTGATAGTTGAAAAAAATCAAATATAACTTCTTTCGAAATACTTTGAAGTAATTAAGATCATAAAATGTTGGAGCTGGAAAATATTTTGTCCAATTAGAACATTCAGTTCAATTCAGTTCATTTATAAATTAGTTAAACGAAGGCCCAGATATGTGATCTGCCTAATACTACACAGTGCTAGTAGCCAATGTTGGACTAGGCTGCATCTCTCCTGGGGCTAGTCCAAGACTCTTTTCATCATACTTTGCTATTGTCCCTAAGTAAACCTAACCAAAGCCACAGTAGAGAGTCACAGAGGTTAGCTGAAGGACCCTGGGTGGTAAGTTCATCTTCCTCATTTTTACGGTTGAGAGACATCTATGACTTTGAGAAGGTGAATGACTTGCCCAAAGTGACAGTCAAAATTAGGACCCAGGTCTTCAATCCCTCAATATCATGTTTTCCTTACAACACTCGCACTGCCTCCAGGCTTTGCAAGAAGCAAAGTGATACATCGTCATTTCCATTGAGTATTTTTTCACTTGTCAGAAAAGTCTGAATCAAGACAGTTGCTTACTAATATACAATTGGCCCTCAAACAATGTGGGGGTTAGGTGTGCTGACTCCCACACAATAACAAATCCACGTATAACTTTTGACTTCTCAAACACTTTACCAATTACTATTTTATTTTTATTTTTCATAGCGGTCCCAGTTAAGTCAGAGTTGGCAGTTGAAATTTTGGAGAAAGGCCAGGTCCGGTTTTGGATGCAGGCTGAGAAGCTGTCTGGCAATTCTAAAGTCAACTACATATTTAACGAAAAGGAAATTTTTGAAGGGCCGGTAGGTTTTACACTTTTTAGATTTCTAAACGTATCACTATAGAATGTGCTGGGGAAGCCTTTTAGAATGCAGGTAAGTTGATATGAAAACCACTGGATGTGGGGTAAGGGAGTTCAAATTTCACATGTAAAAAATGTAGAGGAAAACATTGATTGATTATATCATGCTATTTAAACTGGAACACTTTTGAGAATGAAAGCGGGTACTAATAGTACTTGTTTCAAGACAACAGTCATAAACCAAGGCCATCCCAGACAAATCAGGAAGTATGGCCATCTATGAAAATACAGCTGCTCTCTTGAGAAGGCGGAGGAGGCAACACCATGATCTGAACTCACATACTCACATCGGAAACGCCAGCAGGGATTATGAGTTCTTCATGTGGAGAAAGTAGCCTCTATTATTCCAAGGGCTCAGATAAAACTGCACTAAAAATACCTTTATTGCTTTTCTGGTTAAAAATGCAATACATCCTTATCGTTAAAAAAAACTTTAAAGACTCCAAAAGGAGAAATTACAAATTCTTACAACTTTCCGATGAACATATTGGTACATATTTTTTGGCTTTTTCCTACACTTCTGTGTATATCTGTTCATGTCTTATTTACATAGGTGATTGTGTATATCTATACCGACTTTTTTGCTTTTAATGTAAACATACAATAGTTTCTATAGATAGAGCTACAACATCTGTGCTTTATTTGACCTCCCCAGACAGACATCACTAGAGCCAGGATCGTGCTGGTCCCTGGTTGGACTAAAGAACTTGGGTTTAAGAGCCCTGGGCTCACACCTGTACTATCACAGGTGTAAATAGGAGATTAAAAAGGACAGGGAAAAGGTGTGGTTTGTGGCCACTATTAACAACCTGTTCTCCTTTCATCAAGATACGTTTTTAAAACATTTGAGTATTCATTAGTGAGGGGGAGAATGGGTAACGAGGATGCAGTATATTTCTTTTCAACTCATATAGTAACTTTGTATAGATCCAGAACAAGTCACACATTGGTCCGCTGTGGCCAATCTCCTCCCTATTTACAAAATGTTTTCATCAGCTGTAATCGTCACCGGGCCAGCAGAGAGGAAGGAAAAACATTGTTGGCATCACTCTCTGCTGCCACAGCCATTGATGGGACACTCATGCACATGTGTGCATTGACCCTTCATGTGTTCTCACATGCTTGCATTTTGCTGTGTGCATGCGCACATGCACACACACATAGTCTGAACTTGAAGAACTGTTCGTTTTCATTGCAATTGGTTCAAATGATACTAATTCATTGGGTGCAAATTACTGACTTAGGTCAGGTTTTCTAGGAGAGTCTGAAATAGAATTTCTCTTTCCAGTGATTTATGGGGCAGTACTCTCAGGAGTAGGGGGTAAGGGAAACAAGGTAGGATACGGGAAAGCTAAGCAAAAATTTGCTCTCAGTTGGAGACTGGCTTTCCGCAGGGGAAGTTCTGGGGCCTGAATTGCACCATAGAATTGATCCTAGACCTGAGCCTTCATTCTGTGACATTTTTATAGCAAAATTTGTTAACAAGAGATTTCATTAAAATTATGACTTTGGAGTTTGTGTTTATTTTATTAGGCTTATTGTTATCATATCTAGCTCACTGATTTCTCTTTTTGCCTTTTTACATTGAAGAAATATAAGATGCATATTGACCGAAACACTGGTATAATTGAAATGTTCATGGAAAAGCTACAGGACGAGGATGAGGGAACATATACTTTCCAGCTTCAAGATGGAAGAGCAACTGGCCATTCTACTCTTGTTCTCATTGGAGATGGTAAGAATTTTGTGGAACATGAACTGGAAGACTTTGCTGCTCCCCTCAATGCAAATACTCCATGGCACAAAAATGGTCATGCGGAAGGCAGTACAAATTGTTTCTTGATTGGATTCCCATGTTTGAAATACAATTATCAGTTAATACTTTCTATAGTATTTCACTTCATAGAAATGGAAGTTAATTTAAAAGGACACCAAATTTATCCTTGGCCTACACACAAGACTGCACATAAGTTATCTCATATATAAACAAATATTTACTACTGAAATTCTCCAGTGAAAGAGATTGCAGTACAACCAAGACTGCATATGTGTCTCAGAAACAAACTGTGATACTATCTTATGATGTGTATTTACTTTAAATTACTTAAATTAAGAAGAAAAAGATGCAAGAGTAGTGTATGCCAAATCAATCATACATTAGAACTAGATTGTATGTCCGCTGCCATAAGCCACTGTGGAAACCACCAAGATTTAAAATATGGCATTTAACAAAGCAATGGAAAGGCTGGCCAGATCTCTACATTTACAGTATCCATACTACTTCACTTTTTCCCAGCTTCATGACCTTGAACAAATTACTTAACCTTTCTAAGCCTATTTCTTTATCTATGAAGACTAAAAATGAATATAGTGGTTATGATGTATGAGTGTCATAATGAATATAAATCACTTAGCACAGTGACTGGCATGTACATTTATATTACTCCACTTAATTTCATGTTTTCTTGTTTTTCAATTTTTAGTTTATAAAAAGCTCCAGAAAGAAGCTGAATTCCAGCGGCAAGAATGGATCAGGAAACAAGGTAAAAACCGTCAGCGAGTAAAGAGAAAAGCTTCAGTTTCTTGAAATAAATATTCACATAACAAATTAAAATGAATATTAATGCTGTGTTAATGACCCTACAAATAAAAAAATAATTGAAAATATTTATTATTAAATATCTATCCATTTAAAATATTTAAAACTCAATCTTGAATTTTAAAAATTTCACTTCAAATATAAATCACATTAGAATTTAAGAATGAACTTTATTTTGTATTCATGACTAAGAGAGTGATTGCTGATGTCATTAATATTTTATAGGTCCACATTTTGCTGAGTATTTGAGCTGGGAAGTGACTGGTGAATGTAATGTACTGTTGAAATGCAAGGTAAGAAGTAGATAATTTTTAAATATTTGATATAAGGGATATGAAGATAAAATAGAGTGTGAGAAGAGCAAGATCAACTTCTCATCTCCTCCATTTGAACCAAATGATAAATGACACATCCTTACTGTTGAATGTTACTGTAATTGTTGGTTAATAAGAAACATTTAAAGTAAAACAACATAAAAATATGGGAAGGCAACGTGATCATTCCTATTCATTACCCTAGAATGGACTATTATTCTTTTTGTTTTAATAAGATTTTTTTTATAGCAGTTTTAGGCTCACAAAAAAATGGAAGAAAAGGTACAGAGATTTCCTACATACATTCTTCCTCTATGCGTGCATAGTCTCCCCCATTAACAGTGTGCCCTTCCAGAGTGGTACATTTGTTACAATGGATGAACCTACACTGACACGTCATGATCACCCAAAGTCCATAGTTTCTATTAGGGTTCACTCTTAGCATTGTACGTTCTATGGATTTGGACAAATGTATAATGATATATATCCATCATTACAGTGTCATACAGAGTATTTTCACTGCCCTAAAAATCCTCTGTGCTCCACCTGTTCTTCTCCCCACTCTTTTTAAATTATTAATTTCAGAAGAATCTCACATTGTCTTTGTTTTAGGCCAAATCTACATTCTAAGTGGTAGATCTATTCCTGAATCATTCCAGCTACACTGTTTTTCCATGGAAGTTTAGCCATTTCCTATCTAAATTATGTGACTAGAGCAACTATACCTTTGTGTGTTGGACACCACTGTGCTGCCATGAGGGAGAGGTTTGATAAAGTGTTTGCAGCTTACAACCAATTGTTTTATTAGGCCTTTGAAAAGCTTTAGAAAAAATTTTTTCATATCATCTTCTGAGTTATTTTGTAACTTAGCATATGGTGTTGTTCAGCTGAGTGTCATCAGAATGTTTTGGATAAGGAACTGCTGGATGAGGTTGGAATGCGAAGGTTGTGATGGTGGACAGGTACTCCAAGGGAGAATCGTGGATTTGGCATTTGGCATGTAGTTGTCATTATAAAAGCCAGAACCCAAGTGCCCCAGTCTCTTCCCAGTCTCAGAAATTCAGAGAAACAACAATCTTCCAGAAATGGGGCAGACAGATAAATTATAGGTTTCAGCCTCTCAACAAATGGCAGAGCTTGAAAAATTATTACTCAGGCAGCAGCTCAAACCCTCACCGCCTCTCTCACCTTCTAGCTGTCTACTTCCACATTGCCACCTCTTCGCTTTCTCCTCTACACTGCACACCCCATAAACCATCCCTTTCCCAGAGGCCTACATGTCCATCCTCCTTCTTTCTGTGCTACCTGTTGCACTAGACCAGGGGTCGGCAAACTTTTGAGACGAACGAGCCGCCAGGGGTCAGCAAACTGTGGCTCAAGAACCGCAGGCTCTGAAGTAAAATTGAAAATGAAAACAAAACTATTATAGCTTCATTTATAAAGCTTTTAAAGGATATTATTCACATAATGGTGATTATGTAAAAATATATTTATGGCTCTCGAATAATTTTTAAATTGTTGTGAGGGACAGAATTGGCTCTTCCTGGGGTCGGCAAACTTTTGAGACGGAATGTACCCAAAGAGCCACATGTGTCTCGCAAGCCGCAGTTTGCCGACCCCTGCACTAGACTTCTGGGAAGTGAGGTTTGGTGTCCTTTGGCTTTCCTCAGCGTTAGCCTCATACCCAGATTCTGAACAACCAAGGGGAACCTAGAAGTAGGTGCTGAATATTCATAATTCTGATTTTATGCTGTTACACTGCCTGGAATGGCCTTCGTATTTCAGCTTCCCTGACAAAATCTTTTCTCAAGGCCCAGCTCAGTCATCTCCTAAGACCTTCCCCTTCTCAATGCAGGTAGAATGAACCTTCCTCTGCCCTCACATAGCTCTTTGTTTCACTATTATAGCAATCTATGTACTTTGGCAATTTGCATATTTATTATATTTAATGCAGTATGTGCAGCTAAATATTCAGTCTCATGAGACTATAATGGGCCCCACTTGGAATTAGCCTACTCAAAAGAATACAGGACAAGAACCCCAGCTCGCCTACAGGGTGGTGCTGGGCATTCCTCTCCTGCAAGAGTCCACATCAGGAGCTATTCCTTTTGCCAACCTGAGACGACAGCTCAGGTGCAAGGAGACAAGATCCACTTTGGTCAAGTACAGGAAACACCATGGCTCTAAAAATACTTCGTGCCCCAAGGAGCCAATATCTCTTTTAACAACTCCTAGGCAGAGTTTCCCAGGTCCCCACAAGGGACATGCCCAAATTACAAGAGTCAGTATACTCAGGGAAGCCCGAGCTATGAGGTCCATTTCTAGTCCCTCCGAGTCCAGATGCAACTTTCCAATCAGGGGTCATTTCTATCATAAGCAATGTCACCTAATAACACACTTACTTTCTATGACTCAGGAACAGTTTATAGGATGATAAAGAACATTTGCACGTACTGGTTTCATTGTACAGTTACCAGTGTTGGTTCTTATTTTAATTTATCAACTGACATTTTTTAACATTTTAAAATTTGCACATCCTTGTTTGTAATGAGATTAAACATTTTCTGTTTGTTTGTATTTCCTCTTTGGGAATTATGTGTACATTTGTTCAGTTATTCAGTGGAGACTTAGGGATTTTTCTCTTGATTTGTATGAAGTCTTTATTTTTTCATACAATTTTAATTGCACAAGAAATACATGAATATATGCTTCTTTGTAAAATATTCAAACATTTAGATAAATCTCAAGATCCCTTTAACAGTTAGTATGAAGTCTTTTAGCTCATTTGAAATTTATGATACGATGTATGGATACAGGATTTAAATGAGTATCCTCAAAACTGCTAAGCAATTAATTAAACCCTACTTAATGGATGTTAACTAAACTTACTGTGGTAATCATTTCACTATATAAATACATATCAGATCATTATTTTGTACAGCTTAAAGTTATGGTTATACGTCAATTATATCTCAAAACTGAAAATATTTTTAATTTAAACAACTTTTTACAACATAATTCCCCTCCACATTTATTGGCAAAGCTTCATTTATCTTGTTAAAAATTTTAGATATAGGGGCCAGCCAAGTGGCACGTTGGTTAAGAGTTGGCTTTGGACGCCAGCTCTGGGCAGCAGGGTCTTGGTTCAGATCCCACATGAGGGCCAGTGATGCTGCTCCCTCTACAGCTAAGATTGTGAACAACAGCTTGACCTGGAGCTGGGCTGCTGTGAGTCGCCTGCAATGGCGTAGGCTGCAGTGGGGCTGGCCGACAGCTGACCTGCCCTTTCATGAGCTGTTGTGAGCTGCCGTGAGCGGCCAACCAATGGCCAGCGAGCGATTGCCTCACCTGGGAAGAGTGCAATGATAATACCAATATGGGCCAGTGAAGTGACATCTTCCACAACTAGACTGAAGAACAAAAGGACAGCAACTTGTCTGTTCCCCTTCCCTAATTCTCCAATGCTGTTCCCCTCCTTCAATTCCCCAATAAAATCTTTTTAAAAAAAATTTTAGATATATATATCGGGGCTTATGTGTCTGTTCCTTTAATAAAGCCATTTGTTTTCTCATGTGATAGACTCTCTTTTAATCTGATGGAATTTGTCTTCCAATGGTTTTCAGATTTATATTTCATTTATTTTTTTTCAGATTTCTATTTTAATTTAAGTTTATACGTTAGTATGTATGTATCTATCCTTTCTTTTCTTGTCCACTAGATGATTTTAAAGTTAATTTTTACTGCTCGATATAGAGATGCTATTGATTTATCCATTTGTATCCATTTTATTCTAAACCAGCAGTTCTCAACCTTCCTAATGCCGCAACCCCTTATAGAGTTCCTCATGTTGTGATGACCCCCAACCATAAAATTATTTTTGTTGTTACCCTATAACTGTAATTTTGCTTCTGTTATGAATCGTAATGTAAATATCTTTTTGTTTTCCGATGGTCTTAGGCGACCCCGCGACCCACAGGTTGAGAACCGCTGAAAACAGTTTTTCAATTAAAATAGCTTTAAATTGATTCCTTTAGCACTTTCTGACTCTAAATTTAGTGCATTTTCTTTTATCCAATTCTATATTAAGAGTTATTTAGTTTCATAAGAATAGCATTTCCCTTTTCAAGAAGTATAATTATGTTTTTTCTTCTAGGTGGCAAATATTAAGAAGGAGACTCTTATTGTGTGGTACAAAGACGAGAGGGAGATATCAGTGGATGAAAAGCATGACTTTAAGGATGGTATATGTACCCTGCTTATAACAGAGGTAGGTAACTATAAATGTGAAATGTAATATATTAATTCTGTACCCTACTTTCTCGAAAAAAAACAAAACAGACTAGATTCTATATTCCTTTGCCCCAGGCATTTGTAATACCTTACTTATAAGTGCTCCAAGGATCCCTAGCCTGACTTCACTTAAAAATCAAGCTGTAAATACACAAAAGTTTCTCTCATGTGATATGCATGGATTCGTCACATGTCCAACCAACATTTTCTGGACATCACAACTCTTGCCCCTCTGAGCTACTTTTTCATAGATGGGTGAGTGGCAGGGCAGTTAAGTGGATCCTTTTTCATTTGCTCTTAAGTCTTATGATAGCTTTTTCTCTAAACGTACAATCAGACGTAGTATTCATTTAAGGATAGATTTTTATCTACTTTTTGTCTAAAAGAGTATACCTTTCAAATATATGTGATCATTAGTTTTTAATATGAAGGCAGAATGAAGGATAAGAACTTGAGGTCTCAAATCAATTATAGCATTAGAGAGTGAAAAATCAGGACTGCTAGCTGGTGAATTTTTATGATGAATAGGTTCACCTGTGAACTGTTCATTGCTGATATGGCTAGATGCTTGTTCAACGTGTGTTTTGATGGCAATTCTATAAATCACAGGACCTTAGAAATGCAAACACCAAATTCTGAGGCTACAATAAGCTGCAATGTGGTGTATCTATCCCTCCCTTAGTTTTCCAAGAAAGATGCTGGGATTTATGAAGTTATCCTGAAAGATGACAGAGGAAAAGACAAGAGCAGGCTGAAGCTTGTGGATGAAGGTCAGTGCACCTACTGCTGGGATCTGCTGTATGTGTTCTATATACAGGTTGCCAGAATTATGAGTGAGGCTGAGCTGATGATTCAAGTCATGCTGATTTTTTTTATCCACAGATTTTTCTTCTCATTGAAATTCCAGCAGAATGAACTACTGATATATTTTTTAAAACTTCACTTTTAGTCTTCCTAGAAATCAGAAGTGTACTTTTGATCCTCAGTGAATTTGTAGTCCACAGTCCACAAGGGGTCCTTTTTCAATATAAATCATTTTTGTTTCCACCCTGTAAAAAAATGTTACAGGATCAACATTTTTCCACTGTGAAAAGTGGATTTTAAGAATCTACTCTTAGAAGGTAGCAAGAAAGATTTATACGTGAAACTTGAAGCCTCTCAGTTATTACCAGAGCAAGAGAACCATTTCCATTATTCAGAGACTACCAAGAATAAATGTATCACGATAATGAAGACCTATGTGACCCGTAAACTCCCAATTTTGTTCCTGAACAAGACTATTAACAGGATTGCTGACAAACAGTGCAAGTCTGATTTCACCTTCCTAACTCTCAGTGGAGGCAGGACTAAATGTGTTTATTGGCAAAAAGCATTATTAGGCTGAGAAATGTCAGGTTGATAAATGGTTAATTCATTATGAATTGATGACACTGATAGGAACACTTCCTCTAATGTGAACTAAGACTTACTAGGACTCAAGAAGAAGAGATTCTTAACGCCAAGAACCTTCCTGGAAATCTCATTGTGGCTCTTTCTCTAGAATGTAAATATAGTGACAGTTATAAAGAATTAGAGGGAAAAGTACCAAAATAAAAGCAGGGATTTTTTAAAAAGTTGATTAAAATTGAGTTATTCTCTCCAAGAGAACCTTGTGACCAATATCTTTCCCCAGATACTTATTTATTTGTTAATTAATTAATTTTTATTAAAGTTATTGGGGTGACATTAATTAGTAAAATTATATAGGTTTCAAGTAAGCAATTCTATAATACATCATCTATATTTTGCATAGTGTGATCACCACCCAAATCTCCTTCCATCGCCATATATTTGACCCCCGAATTTACCCTTTTCTACCTCCCCCTCTTTCCCTCGGGTAACCACCATACTGCTGTCTGTGTCTATGAGTTTTTGTTAGACAGATATTTTGATATCTGACTAACAGTTTGAGATTTGACCTTAGATGGAGCATTTTTATACTAAAGCTTTGTCTATGAATTTCTATCCACAGCCTTTAAAGAACTGATGAGTGAAGTATGTAAAAAAATAGGTAAGTTAAAATGTTCTCACCAATAACAGGGCTTCATTATTCTCCTGGATGGGCTTACAGGTGTATAAAATATGCTGTCTTCTTCTTTCAGCTTTGTCTGCTACAGACTTGAAGATCCAAAGCACGGCTGAGGGCATCCGGCTGTACTCTTTTGTTACCTACTACCTAGATGATCTCAAAGTTAACTGGTCCCACAAGTAAGTAAATGGGAATTCAATTGCTGTGTAGAAATTCTTTCTACACTGGAGTGAAAAAAAAAGTGGGAAAAACAACAGCAATTCTCCGTACTCTCAGGTAAGGAATCTTCTGACTTTTCAGGTCTGACATTAATGAGCATAGGACAGAAGCACCCAGGCCATTCCCTTAGTGTGAGGTTAGCACTTTTCCTCAACATATGCATGGTGAGGTCAGTGATGGCTAACAGCATCTGTCTTTGTGATCAGGGCAGTACCATCATTTGTAGACATGTCTATAATATGACCTCCACCTCCAGACGGTCGTGCTTGGTCTCCCTCTGCTTTGTGAGGCACCCAGAACCAGATTCTGATTCTCTCTTTCTACACACAGCTAACCCATGCTATGGTCTGGAACAAAATTAAAGCAGCATGCACCAGAAGACACCAAATTTCCCATTATATGAATTAGTGACCATTCACCAAAGAAACCTAATCCAGAGGCATGCCTGAGTTAGTTATTGTTGTTGTTTATACCAGTTAGCATAGTTGGCCATTAATATGTTTCTTGTCCACCCTAAGAAGGCTGGGAGATCTTAAGATGACTTTGGGAAAATGTATTTGAACAGGATTGAGCCTGAAGATTTGTTCTAATCCCAGCCTTCCTTCATGGAGTTCTAGGGGGGATTCCATTCAAGTTCACCTCTGGGATTCCAAGAGGCACAACAGGTTTCTAAGTTAAACGAGTTCTCCATTTATACTCTTGACGTTACCCTTAACCTCTGTGCGTCCTTGAAATTTCCTGAACTGAAAGAAAATAGCAGCCTGGCACAGAAATCTGATGGGGCACAGCCACTTTCAGTCCACACTTAGGATGCAGCAGACACTCATTCTTAAAGTCCTTGTGAGCCCCACTGAGCAGTTGGTCACTGTGGTATCCCCGGGAGTAGGCAGACAACATGTTTGTTTATATCTTCCCTTCATTGGTTGTTTACAATGTGCCTGGCACTGCTCCAAGCCATTTAGATGGATGCATTTATTTAACATACACAACTCTGTAGAGTGGGTACTTCTCACTTCAGTGAAGAGGAAGTTCAGGCTAGGGGAAGTGACTTGCTTGAGGTCACACAGCTAAGTGGTGGGTTGAGGGCTGAGCCCAGGCAACCTGGCTCCCGAGTCCCCATGCAATGGCACTACCCCTGTATTCAAGTAGCATTAAACATCTAGATTAACATTTAACCAGAACTGGGTCCCACAAAACAATCATTTGTGTTTTCTTTAAAATGACTGTCTTGTTACGTAGAACAGTGTTTTCTTATTTTATTATTATTAATTTCCTGAGTTCTAAAAAAAGTGAGAAGTGAAATTCCAATGTAGAATTCTTGGGGTAAAATATATTCCTTTCAGAATATATTTTAGGAAAGTAGTTCTAAGTTAAAATAGATAAAATTCCAGGAAATTCCTGTGTGACACCTAAGACATTCTAATATACCAGTTTGAAGACTGAGAAAATAAATTAATTAAATCATCAATCAAAAAGCTTTACATCATCTCTAAAAGAATTACTTGTCCAAAAAAAAATTGTAGCATTGAGTTTTAAACAAACTTGCAAACATAGACTAGCAAGGAATACACTTTTTACATTATTTAGTGTAGTCAGCTAAATGAGTGTTTTGTGTATCCACATGCCCACGAACAATTGAGGAGTCAAGGATTGTCTTCACTGTCTTTATGTAGGTATGTGGCACAATGGGAAAAAAACTTGAAGTAGGTTTTAATCTTGACTTTGCTCCCATCTTCCCCTGGATCTTAAGCAAGTCATTTAATTTTTCTCAGTCTCACACAATAATACCTGCTCTATCTCATAACACTGATGGACCCAATGAAAGAATGAAATTAGTTGCACTTTGTAAACCAGGAAGTGCTTTACAAATTTAAGGTGCTATTATGCATGTTAGCCAGAGATTAAAGAATTCAAACATTGGGGCAGCCGATTGGTGCAATGATTAAGAGCTGGCTTGGGACGCCAGAGGGCCTTGGTTCAGATCCCACATATGAGGGCCAGTGACACTGCCCTCTACAGCTAAGATGCTGAACAACAGCTCAACCTGGAGCTGGGCTGCCGTGAGTCGCTGGCGACGTCATAGGCTGCAGCCCCTGCTGCAGTGGGTTGCCACGGGCTACTGTGTGTAGCCAGCAGCCAGCGTGAGCGGCCAGCAGCCGCAGTGAGCGGCCGTCCAGAAGCCAGCGACTGATCTGCCTCGCCTGGGAAGAGCGCAATGATGGTGCCAACTTGGGCCAGTGAAGCGATGTCCTCCACCACTAGACTGAAGAACAAAAGGACAGTAACTTATCTGTTCCCCTTCCCCCAATTCCCCAGCGCTGTTCCCATCCCCCCAATTCCCCAATTAAAAAAAAAAGAATTCAAACATTTATTATAGCAAAGCAGAGAGCTTTCTCTCTTTTTAGCTCTCTAAGACATACATATATATTGCTCAGGCTGAAGTCTGATGGGTACAGATGGCTTCCTTTATCTTACATTTTAAGGCATTTTAATTTTAGTATCTTTTAAAGAATGTACTGTATAAGAAAAATGATGAATATTTATTTGAAAACAGAAAGTTTTTTTGGTGGAGATCTTTGTTTTTCTATGTTTTTTTTAAAGTTCATTTTGCTTATTATAGATAACTACAAACATAATACATGTTTGTTTCAGAAAATATATTTATAATATCGTACTACAAGTTAGGAAGAGTTTAAAATATGATGTTATCCATAGTTTTTCTAGTCATAGTATGAACATTTTGGGGTAATACCTTCATCTTTTCTTTATGCATAATTGTTAATAAAGTAGTTTAGTTTAGTGCCCATTTTCCTTATTTCCTTACATGTTAACAAACTCTTCATAAAGTTAGTTTTAACATCATTGAGAGTATATCCACCTCTATCTTTCTCTTATTTCATCTAAACAGTGGCATTACTAGACCATCAGATCACAAAACAAACTGTTCTTTTTGCTTTTATTCTCTTGTAAAGAAAAGAACACAATGGATGGGTCTGCTCATGAACTACTATACAATACCAAGAAATTCATATTTAGGGGCAGAGAAGGTGCCTCATTCATTTTGGCAGCAACTCTGCTTTTAATTTACTCTTGGTCTTACTACCAAGTGCATATTTACAAATGTTTTCAATAGCTTTGTAACCACATATATCAATGGATGTCAACCACAGATGAACCTCCTTAAGTCTGTTTTTGACTAGCTTATCCATAGACCATCTGCATGAAATATGCAGTAATATAATTTGTACCGTGGCCTTTTCACTTTAAAGATTCCCTTAGTCCCACAAATAAGCCCAAGTAAAAACAAAGATAATTAATATCACTGAGAAGTATTGGTGTTGCAATCTGCCTTGGACCCCAGACTACTAATGGGAGTTAAATGTGAGACTGTCAGACCCCCACCCCCACCCCCAACCCTGGGCCTTGGAATCCAAGTTTTATGACTCAGGGTCTATCATTTCTCTGAAGCAATAGAACATACGTGGATCCCATATTATTTGAAAGCCTGTAAAACTTTATGTGAAGACCTTCAATAAAAGGCAAAGTAAAGGTCAGCTCTAGAGGAAAGCAAACTATAATGACGTTTCTTTGATTTGAACAGTGGGACTGCCATTAAGTACACAGACAGAGTTAAGACTGGGGTCACCGGGGAGCAGATCTGGCTGCAAATCAATGAGCCCACTCCAAACGACAAAGGGAAATATGTAATGGAGCTCTTTGATGGCAAAACAGGACACCAGAAAACAGTGGATCTCTCAGAACAAGGTAAATGGATATTCTGCAGATTAGAACTTAATTTGGAGGGGTGGGCTTTTTAGAAAGAGTGAAGGGTGATAAGAGGTCGTTAAGTTTGCCTATTGAAAGATGATTGGAGATTTCAATAAAGCGGTTTAAATTCAGCCACAGTGGTAGAAGCAAGAATTCAGTGGGTGGAGAATCATTGAAAAGTAAGCACTACTCTTTCAAGATGCTGACAAAGAAGGGCAGATTGATTTACAATCACTTGAGCAAGAACAAGCACTGAAAAAGAATAGTTTTATGATGACTGAAAGTTGAGCATGTTCATGGAGTCTAAGCCATTAGCTGAGTCGGAAGGATTGAAGATGTGAGTGAAGGGGAATAATTGATGTATGAGACTTCTGAAGGATGGAAGATTGGAGATCCAGGGCCGAGGTGACAGTGTTGACTTTGGAAAGGAGCAGGAATACATTTTCTTCAGAAACCAGAGGGAAGTAAGTGTGAATAAGCAAAGACAAATATTGAGGAGGACAAAAGCAAGTTAGAAAAGTTGGATCTTTATGGCCTCAGATTCCTTGGTCATTTGCTGAGAGAATGGGGGGTTCTGCAGAGACTGGGGAAGAGGAGAAGAAAGTCATGAGAGATGTGGACAAAAGGCTTCCATCTAAGAACATAGACGACAGGCGATGCACAACACCTATTAGCTAAAATTTTAAAAGTTAAAACATACACAATCATTAATAAAAATTTAAAAACACTGTGCCATTTCTCACTCTCCTGGTATTATACTCGTCATCTTATATATTATTTCCTGGAAAAGTAAAAGTCTGTATGAAGTTACTAAAGGAGATTGGGGACTGACTTACTATTCCACTTTTTCATACATTAAAACGTTGTCTAAATATGCCATAACACTCAATGTTTTAACCCTGAGAGAGTAGAATCGTAATTCAGAGAGCAGGCATTTGACCCTGCATTGAGTTATTTTGTGCTGAGTTCCTTATCATTACCCCACCACCCCCACCCTCCTGCCCATGATGATAGAAAACGCTCGGTGAAGAGTCTCTTCAGGGAATGGAAATGGCTGCCTCCAGGGACTCAGACATTCTCGGCCACATTATGCCTGTGCCTGAGTCACATACTACAGTGATAAGGGATTTCTTCTGCAGTCCATCTGATACTGTGAAACACAACAGAAAAAGGAAAACAAGACATGGATAGATCAATTTAAAACTTTTTAAAATTTTACTTTTACCGTCTGGCCCATCAGAGCTTATTTAACTACCCTGCTCTCAAATCCCCCTTAAACAAAAGCTGTGGATTATTTTACCAGCCTTGATGCTGCCACCAAACGCAGATAGGCTCTCCTGTGCCTCTTTCTCAGTGTGATGCGGGTAAAAAGAAGAGTAATGAACTCTTAGCCTGGTCTAGCCTGACTGGTCTTTCTCCAGAGACTTTAACCTCCCTGGCGGTCTGATTATGTCAGTAATTTTGTACCCAAAGCGGTACATTGTTTTGCATGGAAATGTGTTGTTTTATATTGTAGGCCTGTAATTCTTAGGAATTACTCACTTAAATCTGTCCAAATAAGAGTCTAGTAGGCATCCCAGATATGATAAAGTTTGAAACACAAAATCATAAATTATAATATAAGTAATTATAAAAAATAATTCTGGCAGTGAAAATGAACCCCGAGCCACACTCAGGATTACCACCAGGGTAGTTAAACCTGACTTTATGCTTATTTTTTCTATTTGTGATAGGAGGGGTGTAGACTAGTATTATATAAATATTTTCTAGATGTAAAATATTATGATTCCCAAACCACAGAGAAGTTTAAAGACGAGGTGAGAGAGATTTCAAAATTAAGTTGCCTTTTGTGGCTTACTCTGCAGACTCAGAAAAAAAAACATTTTAGAACTATAGAGCTCTCAATTCCTTCTCTCACTGTCTTTTATCTCATCTCCTGCCCAGCATAGAGGCATTGCTTCAGGCAAGCATGGCACACGCTGTGAATGCAGTAACTCCCTGTGCTAAAACTTTAGCACAAACAAATGGGCCAGACCCCATAACATAGAAACATTCAACGGTTTAGCTCGGAGGCCATGGCATGTGGGATGATTTAATAAAAGAAAAGCCTTTTTGATTCTCAGGATGTTTATTAGACAACCAACTTTTATTCGAAACAGACCTTTATTCGCATTTTATATTTGGTGGAGCTAATCTTTGCCTTTCCGTTTGAGGGTTTGAAGATCTCTCACAGACTTGAAAGCTTCTAAAACCCACTAGTTCACATTTTCTACCTGGAAAGTATTTGCTTGTTAAGTCCATAAAGTTGTAGAGTGAACGCATAGACATAGTCTGATTGAAAGTCAGCTTAGTTGTATCTGCACTGATCACATTGACCTCACATTGTGAATTTTAATTGGCCTCTGTGTGTCATCAGTTCCAGGTGAGAAAATTCTAACTTCTCTTTTTTTTTCCCCTTAAAGCGTATGATGAAGCCTTTGCCGAATTTCAGAGATTAAAGTAAGTCTCTGTTTCTTAACAAATGCCACTTGCATGCATTAATGTCTCTGGAGCACCATGTGTGCTGCCTCTCCCCCATCTGAGTGACAGAGAGGGTCTTTCATTTCGACAAGTGCAATAAAAGCAGCTCTTCCCACTGCTTTGTTGAACAGCAAAATGTCTCTTAGGTAATGAAATGCAGTCAAGTTTAGCGACTTTGAAGTAACATTAAAACCAAATTCTTCTTTGTTTGTGTGTTTGTTCGTTTATCTCAACCACAGACAAGCTGCCATTGCCGAGAAAAGTAAGTAAACCCACCTCCCGTTTATTCCTGGCATATTTTCAAAATATAACTTTTATTTTTCTATTATGACTACAGATGGAGGAGGGTGAAAGTGGTCTTTTTCTTTTTCTTTTTTCTTTTTAAATCTTAGATGTTCTACATATGTTTTCATTTATTCTCTTGAGTAAGAATGTCTACGAAAGGAAGGTCTCAGGTTACACTATAAGAATGTCTCACAGCTCTTGACTTGAGTTGCCACCCAGCCAGCCTTCTGGAGAAATCTCTGGGCTACAAATCACACAATAGGTTGTAAATCACTTGCAACAGGCATAACATATCAGAAACATTTGTGTTACATTAAAGAAAAGAAGAAAAAAGTATCTTTGTAAATTTAAAATCTGAAACTGGTCTCCCAACAAGTACTCTGCATTTTCCTGAGACTTCTATAAGAGAAAAGATGTAAGTCCTTCCTTTATTTCATTTCACTGGACACAGTCTGCATGAACAAACACCAAACTCTCATGTTTACATACCCAAAAATGAGCTCACTACTAACTTCTATCAACCATTTGCTTCACACATTGATATTTCGAGAAGCATTCAGGCAGTCTGATAGGATCCCAGAAGTCACAGACTAATCTCATAGTAATTCAGGTTCTTTCACAGTGTGGGAGGCAGAATTTGAAAACCGTGGAGGGTTAAAACGGTAGACTCGATCCTGAGCTGGAATGGAAGGGAACCAGGAGGAGGAGTGAGAAGTGAAGTCATCTGCCTTTTAGTGGCCCTAGATCACCCAGTATAGAACTTCTCACCTTTGCTGTGTACTGCTTTCTTCCCTCCTTTCCGCTCTCTCCCTCTCTGTACTCAGGCCCTGGGTTTGTGAGGCAGCTGTTACTAGTGAATGGGGCAGATGCCAGTACCAGGACCATGCTGGAGAGAGTCCAAACCACAGGGAGCATTTCTTGTTGGCACCCAGTATGTCCCTTCTGCACCTGTATACAGGAGCAAAGCCCACGGCCGCAGCAGTTGACAGCCACTTCCCATTCCTGAACTCTCTGGTGGGCAAAGAACCCTACCTTCCCTCCAGTTCATAGACATTTTCCTCAGACCTCTGGATCACAGCAGCTGAAAGCTGGAAGAGAATGTTATTGCTCCTCTAGCTCCATGTTTTTAAACTTTACAAGCTATAGGACACTTACTTCAGACAAAAATCTTCCAAACAGACCCAATATGTAAAATAGGTAAAAACTGAGTTACCTTCATTGATGTCGGAATGGGGACCTGGCTCCCTGACTCAGTGCCCCGTCTTGACTTCTTCTCAGGCCCCTCAGAGCGATCCCATACATGCTGCGGAGCAGAGTTTAGAAACATCATGTTCACAGGTCTAATGCAACCCGCCCCCGATTCTACAGGTTAGGAGACTGAGTTCCACACAGTGACATGATTCTCCTAATATCACACAGAAAAAGCCACAGGGAGCCAGATGATGGATCGGGCTTACAGCTGGTGTAAGGTGCAATGGAATCAGCAGGAGAATGCAGTCAAGACTCAGTGAAAGCTGTATCCTGACTTAGGGGAAAAGAGAATTGTAGAAATAAGGATCAAGAGTCACACATTAATAAAGCAAGCCTACAAATGAGACAGCCACTGTGTTAGTGCCAGAGAGGGTGGCTTTGAGTGAATTACAGACAAGTGTCCTTCTATGAGGCTGAGCATGGCTTGGCTGGGGAATCAGCCCTAGATTTCAGCACCCTTCCTGCATTTTGTCCCCTCAGATGGGGTCCTTTGTACTCATGGCCATAGACAGCAGCCCTGAATAGCGCTACCAAGAACTTCCAGGAGATGAGGAAGGGAGGCTCTGTAGGGAAAGCCTCAAAGAAAGCCCATGTCTGCATGAGCCTCTTGATTTCCCTGGCCTACAGCCTCCAATTGTGCAACCTTTTTGAGTCATAGGGGAGTCCATAAAAGAGTCCATAAAAGAGGCTGAGCTTGGAGACCTTCCAGAGATCTGCTCTGCCTCCTCAAGCTGAGCCCCACTGAGCTACAGAAAGGACAGGGCTGAAAATAGCTGTGAAAATTATAGCGCTTGATCCAACGAAGTGATCTCAAGCTGATATTTTAGGTACAGTTAGAGGCACCTGTGCACACAAAATACCTGTGTGAAAGATTAACATTCAGCATCACTGGATGATTTTCTTATTTTGCATATTGAAAACAGGTATCAAATAACTATAAAGAGAAGACAACTAAATTGGAAAATTAGTTCTCTGGGGTGGTTTTGTGAGTGTGATTGCTGACACTCATCATTTCAGTAACTAACCAGAAGTGCCTGTGCTTGCAGATCGCGCCCGGGTGTTGGGAGGCCTCCCTGATGTGGTCACCATCCAGGAGGGCAAGGTAAGCAAGGAACACTCCTGTCCCTGCTTCTTCCACTCTAGGAATGGGTTCCACTGCCTCAGACTTTGTTCCTTCTTTTAAGATATATCCCACTGTCCACATCCTATGCCATGGCTGCTTACACTTGACTTCAAAATAGCCAAATACAGGGTTGAAAATGCAGTCATTTTCATAGTCATCTTAATATTTTGGGCCAATCAACAGGATGCAAGTTTGTCTGATGTGGGAACATGTAGACCACTTAGTCTCTTTCCAGAGTTACCCTCTAAAATCACGAGAAGAGAAAAATGTTCAAACATAACTATATGACAAACGTAATTGAAGAAGAAGCAACCTCTAACACCTAGTGGAAAATGGCTCTCCTATTAAATACCTCATCTTTGAAGGGAAACATGCTGCTCCATGAATTTCCATAGGTTCTATTTTAGTTAAAAACTCGCTTTTTTCCATTTAGTTTTAATGTGGTATTTCTTGGCTCCGTAATAATCTCTCTCAAAAGCGATGAACATAATCTCTAACCTGGGTTCATTTTCTTCATTCCTATGTTTTATTAAAACAAGCTTAATATACCAGTTATAGGTGTAGAGGTATTTATAGTGGAATAAAACCTTTTCCCACCTCAAAACAGCAGTGGAGACATACAATAGATGATTGGAACTAGGGTGATAAAACAAGAAATATCTAAAGGCTTTAATGAAAGGTAGGTTTCATCCAGCTGCATTTCTTCATTTCTTCATGGGTGAAACATATGACCACAGTGACTTTAAGCTCAACCATTGCAGAATTGCTTTTATTTTTAAACTCTATTTTCCATTTTCATCATCTAATGAGGTTCAAAATATTCAACATACTGGGTCGAAGTGAGAATTAAGAGTTAGAATGTATGTGAAAGCACTTCGTGATCTATAACTCAAATCTAAAGTATAGATGATAGTTTTTCCATGATACCTAAGGTATTTAGTTTTATTTGGTTTTGGTAAAAGTTTTAACCCCCAAGTAATCAGTTTCCAATATCATATACCTGGTCTGCTTGGATAGGTTTAATTGCAATAGTTTAACTCATATATATATATATATATTTTTTTGCTGAAATGTATTTGTAGAATAATTAAGTAAGAAATGCTAATTAATCATGGAAAGAAAACAGATTTCTTAATCCCAATTTTAAAGGATACTTTTACAAAAGAGGTAATAAGTGATCCATGTAGACGGATATTTAGGATATCTTTTCCCCTATATATTATGGGCCCTAGTTCTTTTCATTATAATTACTGGATTTTAGGAAGAAAAAAATGTAATAGTGGAAATTAAAAGGTGAAGTAAATTCAACATCATTGGCCATCAGGG